AAAGCTTATAGGAAAAAAGCGGTTAAAAAATGTTGTATGAAAATTTAAAAAATTTTATAATAAAATTTTGTTAAATTATTAAATTTTTTATTTGATAAATAATTATTATAAGAAGATTTAGTAAAAAAGTTATTAAATAAGTCTTATAGGAGCAAAGTTAGGAAAAAAAATTTTCTTTCAAAAAATATAAGAAAAATTTATGAGTTAAGAATTATATTAGAATGAATAAAAATTAAAAATCATATTTTTATTTTTTATTATAATATTAATATATAAAAATACATAAATACATTATAAGTAAACCTAGCAAAATTCCACTCGACCTGCCAATCCGATCCGTAAAAAATGACTTAGGGTCTATATATCTCAACCAGTAATTCGTAGATAACCCGTATTATCAACTCGTATAGGTCACGAGTCGGGTTAGGGTGAACCCGCTGGTTAACAGATTAACCCGTTTGTTTTATTTATTATTGTTATTTTAAAATATTATACTTATTATCTTTAATTAATTTTCATATTGGTAACTTCTTCCATTAATTCATACTCCTTAATTTCTATAGAAAAAAGAAGATATTATGATAAGTTGGATCTAATTATCCAAGTATCATTTTTTTTTTTTGTATTAACAATTACCCAAGTATCATGAATGAAATGATAATGCAACTAAAAATATTAAAAGATGTGATGTTAGGATATAAACATAATAACTTAGTGAAAAATATTATTGGAAGAGCAATTTCATCATTAAAAAAATGGATTAAACAACTCGATAATGTTTCAAAATAATTATACAATTAAAATTTTATTTTCCAAAAAATTTAAATATTTTACTTTTAATATTTTTATAGTTAATCAATTTATTTTTTTTTTCTTAATTTCAATATTTGTGATTGAAATTATAAAGTATTTAGTGTTAATGAATCACAATATTTTAATTAAATTTAGATATATATAATTTTATTTGTATATAATAAAATTAATGAAAAATAATTATAAAAAATAAAAATAAGATCAATTTGCGAGTTAACCCATAACCCGTTAAGGTCATGTTAGAGTTGGACTTTTCTGACCTATAACCCGTTTATAACCTAACCCAAGGGAAACTTCCCCTCTTATTGACTATTGAGTAAAAAAATCTCATATTGAATATATATAAAAAAATAACTTATGAGTTAAATACTAAAAAAAGTATTCTATCTATTGTCAATTAATTTTAAATTAAATGTAACATGCACAATTTTCACATTCTGTCATAACAAGCCCATTGTCCATATGCACAAAAACCACACGTCTGTGTTAATACCAACAACAGAATGATCATGATAAAGTTTCAAATCCCTATAATAATACCGAACAGCTAATTCTTGATGTATCGAAGCAAGAGAAAAAAGGAGATGAGTTAAGAGGAGTGAATTATCTAAAATTATCCATTTCCAGTTGAAGCATGTGTGCAAGGCAACATCCGAAGGCATAGAGACAGAAGTTAAACATTCTGCGCAAGAACATGAACAGACATACAACAAATTCGCCAAGAAGCAAGAGAGATTGAGAAAATGAAGCTTCTTTGAATAAAATATGAATAACCAGATAAAATCTAAGATCAGTTGATAAACCCTCCTCTGAATTATAGAAGGCAATAAAACTAGCATCCATACATATACTTTCTCCATAAATTAGATGCTTTGCTACTTCAAATGTAACTAGGTGTTCTAGGTAAATGGAAAATGCCTACTAAAACATGAAACCTCATGGTCCAAGGCGCCCCTTCAAAGAAAATATGATCTATGCCAGTAATGAGTAACCCAAATGTTTTTTAGCTGGACAGACTAGTTCATGCTACAGAAGATCACCTTTTGGGATGATTTGGAAAAAATGCCTGTACAAGTTCGGCAAAACAATCAGGGGTAAATTTATCACTTTGGAAAAAATTATCTCTAAAGCAAATAGGAATCTGGGTTTAGAATGCCCTGGCTCTATCTAATGCCATAACTTACAACAGAATCCATTGCGTTGCCTCTTGCTATTTATGATATCTGAAAATGAGTCAACCAACTGTCCTGCCAAGCTACTTGGATCATCCATAAGGGTTTGAATGAAGGTATTGACCACCCTACGCTCCTGTTCTGTTGATCTCAAGCTAAACCATGTCAGTAGTTTCAACCTAAATTCCTGGCTAATATGACCCTCACATTCCAGGCCTCTGATTATCTTCACATAGTCCTCAAAGTTTTCATCCAATTGACCTGAACCATTGGAGATTCTGAATGGTGACCCATTTATCAGAGTGCTATCACAGTCATGTGTCTCTTCACTAGAGTTTGCTTTTCTTTTCCTGCATAACTCTGCACAGGAATCAACAGCAGGGACCTCTCCTGTTGTCCTTTGAGTCCATGTTTGGGAGTCACCACTACCGTGAGATCTGGCCAAAGCATTCTTTTGCATGTCATGAGAAGCGGCATCATCAACTGCCTCCACAGCCTGCTCCAAGGTGCAGCCATTATCTTCATCTCTGGAGGAATCAAATGGAGGGGTTAGCTCTTCATTTAAATCAGGCACTGAAACAACATTTAAGTCAAGCCCCCGTGAAACATTTGGCAAATGATCCTCTTCTACGGTTTCAGGCTTGACAGCCTTGCCCACTTCACAGCATTTTTCTATGTCAGCACTGCAAAACCCTTCAAAACAGGCATGCTCTTGGGCCCAAGCCAGGCGCAGCATCTTTCCGAGGTCTCGAACCTTGAAACCAGAAGAACCATCTGCAGCACTAGTTTTGAAATCCTTCTTGGGACTTAAAGAGCTTCCTTCAATGAGGTTATTTTGTTTCTTCCCATTTATTGTTGCTTCTGAATTAGCATTCTTATTAACGATCTCCACACTCTTGGTAAAACATTTAGCCTCAGAGTGACCCAAGTCACCAACGTCAGTATAAGAAACAATACGGAAGGTATACTCTGTACATGGCTGCAGATTGGATATCGAAATCCTTCTTTGGGTTCTTGGAAAGACACATATGGGTTCTTTTGAAGGTGTCTCTTCTCTACTCTTGCAATACCAGAGCTTGTAGCCTTTAACATCATCAGATGAAGTGATTGACAATTCAATCAATATAATTACAACAGAGGAAGCTGTCACTTCTTCAAACAGGAACCTGCAAGCAGCAGGAAGTGAATCTGCAACAGAAAATATAATCCCTTGCATAAGTGAATTCAAAATTGTAATGTGATAAATAGAAAAAGACAAGCCTTTGAGGATTCTAACCTCGACAATTTTGATTTCTGCTAGCCATGGTCACAAGCCATTCATCTGCTTTCTCAATTGCAAGAGAGCAGAGTTTTTGCACATCCCCAGCTACAGAAAGTCTGCTGACAATGCCCCGTGCCATCTTGGCAGAAACTCCATTCAGTGGACCTGCTTCTGTTTCAAGTTTGACCTTTGCATCTTTCACAATCTCATGCAGTTCTTTAAACTGAGAAGTCCCGTCAAGGAGTCTGTAACTCAAGCATATTCTATAACAGAGAACATCAAGGCGGCGGGCATCTTTTGCAATACTTAGCTGCTTCTTCCAACATCTGCCAGCAGAAACAAATCAGACCAATCAGTCAGCCCACAGCTGAACACCTATACCAGGAAAATAGAAATAACCTGCAGTCACTCATTCTGTAAAACCAACACCTTATGAAATCACTTTCCTCATCAGCTTATTGTATCCATGCAGCTCTAGTTATGGGGATTCAAATATATCATTGCAAATCTCGTAAGGCTTGGTTTAGGGTTTAGGCCAGTATAGGAAAAAAGAGTTGAGCATCAGCTGGAAGACAAATACTTACCCAAGTATTGCGGAAACTTTACCACAAGAGGCACAACAATAACTTCCATCCAGCTGCATCAATTGGCCAAGATCAACAACACCCACCTTCTCACGTTGAAGGGCACATTCTATGTGGCATGATAACCCACAAAAATCCCCCTCACCAGAGTCTGATGTGCACACCAACCAAAGGCTAGGATCCTTATTGTCGTCAAATAAATGACAAATGCAACAAGAGCACCTCTTGCAAAATGTATCATCTATGGATAGAACAGCTCTGCAAGCAGAATTTTTACAGATCCATGAGTATGAATATGCAACATCCAGAGATTGTTCAGGAACCTGGGGCAGTCGCACTGGGTTTTCCCCCTTTCTGCTTTGCTTCTTAGAGGAAGGTTGACCGTTGGAATTGGACAAGGCTTTTCTAGGCTCTGGCTTCTTGGACATCTTGCTGCTTGTCTTCATAGCTTCTGTCATTTTGCTTTTTGATGAAGCTGAGTTTTTCTTGTCTTTATCAAAGCAGATTTGAAGAAGTTCCCTCCTTGGACCAGATTTTAGGAACTCCTGGAGGAGTTCTGGACTTCTTGAAGCATCATCTGAATGGCCATTTTTCTCAGGGGTGCTTTGCACACTAGAGGAAAGGCTTTGAACACCTGAGACTGCCAAATAAAAGAAAGCAGAATAACATTATAGGAAACATAAAATTGCAATGCAATATCAAACCTACAAGAAGAAAAAATTACTACTGCCTTAAAATTCCAAAGCAGGATGATTGTAAAAACCATAACTGATATTATGAATAATAGGACTTCTCAAAAAGGCTTTCCAACTTCACCGATCTATGCCAAGCAATCAGAAAATCAATATCATTTTTTTCACACAAACCATTCATGGCCTTTAGATGTCATTCCTCCACCTCACATTTGGGACTTTCACTAACACAACAATTTATGGACTATGGCACTAATAAACATCAAAAGCAAAATATATTACAGGTCACCCAGCAACTCATCCATTTAAAAATTTTGTATTTCATCTCATCTAAGCTCATATTCCTTTAATTCAACTCAAACATCAAGCATCTTCACCTCATTCAGACTTGGAATATGATTGGTAGATCTAGAATGATGGCATAAATCTAAAACCATACAACAAATTGAATGTTAGAAAGAGCAGCCTTACCATCACAAGTCAGAGATCACTTATTTTAAGGATGGTTGAGGGGTAAAGCCACAAAGGGGAACAGAAAGAAATAATCTCCAAAGCAATTGAATTGATCTAGAATACAAGCTAGAGAGCAAAGGTCATGACACCAAGTAAATTGGCATCCACTCATTGTCTAACATTAACTTTAAAAGAGAATGCAGCTACAGGATGAAGCAATCAAATATTCTCCTAGTACTTGGTTCTTGAAATAAATTGCATGATTTATGTTAATCCAAGTGAGAAATAATGAACACTGTTAAAGGAATGCCATGTAAATAAAGTGTAGTTATAGCCATGTTAAAAGCTCATGGACAGAAGTGACTGAAAGAAAAAGAGCCAATGAAAAAACATATCAACTTAGGTGATGCCATTACCATGCAACATGGCTTCTGTAATTTATTGTGGTTTTAATTAACGATTGGCCCATAAATATAATATAACTGTCTAGAAAGAGTATGAAACCTACCCTCAAATTGAGAGAAGAAGAAATGATGAAAGCAAATGATCCAATAATTATGATCTCTAAATCTCATCTGAATTCATATATAATCCATCACATACCAAAAGCACTATCTAGTTACAAGCAGCGCAACCTGAATAAGATATTGAGATACTGAAACAAAGCACATCACCTGTTGATTTTTACAATGCAACAATATATGAGCAATTAAAAAAGATAACAAGCTTGAAACAAATGATGTTTTCCACACAATTAACAAAAATATGGAAATGAAACTCCGATTAACAACTTTTAGAAGGGGGGAAGAAAAAGCAAAGGGGCAGAGACAAAAGGAAATTCTATCCAAGGAACGGAAAAGCAGAGCAGGAGATACCTGATTGACAACAATCCTTCCTCACAGTGAAAAGAATAAGAAAAGAAATCAAATTTTAATAGTTTGACACTGGAAGAGCATTGATGGAGAAGGCGGCATTAAGGTTCTTGAGGAAGCAGCTTCATCAACATATAAAGGCAGTTAGGGTTAATGCCTCATATATATAGTATCATAAAGTAAATATTGCCTAGACCTAGTTCTTATTGGGCCAAATCCGTGACAAAAAAAAATTTTTTTTTTTTTGATAAACAGTTTGGTAGTCAATGAATCTGACAGTTCTTAATTATGGACAAATAATTAAATGGAAAATGTTGAACCCAGACTTTATACAATTTCAAACAGGTTCAGGTAAAAAAATTAAATAAGAATAAAATAAAAGGGCACTTACTTAGCATACAGCGAAGTTGACTTCCTTAGGGCACATCCTTAAAATGTTACATTTATTCCCTAAACCATTGAAAATTACATTAAGAAAATCTGAAAATAAATATAAAATATTTATTTTTTATGGGTTAGGGTAGTCCTCCAAACATGGTCGGTTGGTTGCTGTGAAAAAATAAAAAGAATCTAAATATCTCTGAACTGCTTCTTTAGCTTGCACAAATTCTTTATCTGTCAGATAGTTTCTTATGGTTCATTAATTGAGAGGGTATGTGATACAGCAAGGAATTTTGATGGCTTTTTGTTGAGAGTAATACCTATCATTAAAGGACTAACCAACCAGTTATTATGCTACCATAAACAGTCATGAAGACAAGATGAAAAAGTATAAACACTACTTGTTAAAGTACATTAGATAGTTAATAAATGACTTATGGAATGAATTCATGGACGACTACATAAGGCTAACTACAGTCATTATTTACAATATAAACAGAAGCAAAGGAAACGATGCTAATTCTCAAATGTAATTCGGACACTATTGCACATTGCATACAAATGACAGAAACATCTTTTCAGATTTTATAAATTCCACCCACCAATAATGTCTGCCACAGACTTCCTAAGAAGTAATCTATTCAGACATGCCTCAAAAGGGCTTTCTTACTGATAATTATTGAAACTCTGCACAACCATCTACTCTCATTGTGGATCCTTTTCAGCCTACCTATTCCAACTCTAGGTGATCTTCACCTTGGGGGGAATTAGTGAACCATCAATATCAAATTAGTTAAATCCCAGAAAAAATCCCAGCAAAACCTTCTGCTGATATAGAAACTAACTGCTAGAAACAGTCATAAATGAGATCAACATGGCATTTATGATAATGTTTATTTGGTTTTCCAAATCCAACAAGGATAAAACTCAAAATATGGCCAAATTCAACTCCAATAACCTAGACACCTATTGTCTATTAATTCACCTGATGCAGAATCCTAAATTCTTAAGGGTATCAACACAATAAAATGGAAAATAATTAATAGACAAAGGAAGGTCTCTGTTGAAAATCATGTTTTTCATAATCTCCTACATATCTAGCAGCTCTAACCAATTTGATTGCAAATTATAAATTTCAAGGTAGCCGAATGATAATATTCTAAAAGTAGCAGTTTCTGTTCACACAGTTTTATCATTAAAGCTGTCAATATTAAAAAAAAAAAAAAAAGAAGAAAAGAAAAGAAAAAGAGTCATGACAATGGAAATAAGAATAAAGAAGCATCTATATGGGTGGGAAAGGATAAGTCTTTTAAGATTTGAACCAAAAAACTTAAATTCCTTCAACAGTAGGGCTAATGCCTAGTCCCAGATTTGTTCAGACTAATCTGTTCAATGGCACAGATAGAGTTATCTCAGTACTTGAAATAAAATCACAACAAAAATACTAGAGTTACATAAGTTGGCAGATGCGCTCCCACAAACAATCTCATATGCTGCAGAGCATTTAAAAAAGCAACAGAAATGGAATTAAACATAAGCAGGCTCTAGAAGAACACATAGCAGAGATCAAGATCATATATTTACCTCTGGCAAGAAACTTATCTTCTAAATCCATTGTCTAGAAGTTCAACCCACACAATTTAGCTATCCTACCTGTCGCAATGAATCAGAGATGAGCATCACAATGGCAATAAATTTCCAAAATCATAGATTAAGTAGTTAAAAAAGTTCACATTACTCTTTATTCCAATGAAAAGGCATCTAGGGAATTCTCAGTACAAAAATATAAAACTTAACAAAACAAGGAACAAAAAGAATTAAACTACCCAAGCTCTCTATGATTAGACTTAGTCTAGAGTGCGTGTAGATAAATGTTCATTATTTTCATTCTCCTTTTTTTCTGTTTTAAATGGGTTTTTCTTTTCATTTTACTGCAATGCAGCTTGTAGTTGTAGTCAAACTGGAACAGGAAAGTAGACAGTAGATAACCAAAATCATTTTTCCAGCATCCAGAACTCATCCAATAATGGTAACACTTTAGCCCTTTCCGCAAACAAGTTCTTTCCTTTTCTGGAAAAAGATCAGGACTTTACAATGCATTACCAAACCCCATCAAATTAATAAGAAAACCCAATTTCTTTCTACTTTCTAAGAACAGCAAACAATGAAGCAACACAAAAATAAACCCACCAAACAAGCTTATGTACGGAAATTAAACCACCAGCACAGGAATGCGGAAGACATCTTCAAAACAGCAAATGTCCTTGTATTATATCAATTTGACCATGAACGAACTGGAAAACTCTTAACAAAAAAATACAAAAAAATTTCAGAATATGAAAAATCAAATGCCAGAAGCGAACAGCATGTAAATTGAAGATGCTTAATACCAAACCAAAAATAAACAAAATTTAACAAAAGAAGAAGGAATTGAACGGATCTGAGGACGAAAAGAGCTTAAAAAAACTACTAGAATACGATTTCGAAGAACAAGGAAATCAAAAACAAACCAAAGAGGAATACCTGCTACTAATGGGGAGGAATCTAGGGTTTAAGGAGACAAAAACCAGTGGAATTTCCTCAAGAATCCGAACGAGGAGAGGAGAAAACTTCCTCCTTTGATGTTGTAGTTGGTTTTTGAGGGGTGAAATCATGCGTACAAAGTTCACGTTCTGGAGATGGAAAACACGCGCGACGTGGCGCGTCTGGATGTTGAGTCTCGTTTAAAAGCGGGGTTGGTTCTGCCGAGCTGGTAAAGGACGTCAATCACCGTCATATTCCGTGATTGATGCGTGCGTTTAAACGCGCGTGAAGGTTGTTTTATTACTTAATTAACTTTTTATGTATCCAGGTTGAGAATCCTGTTTTATATCGGACTACGAAAAACTTAAAATAGAGTACTGCAAAGCTGAAATCATGAAATAATTTAATTTTTAATATTCGAAAGTCTATTTTTATTTAATTATTATATAATTTAAATTACATTTTATTTTTTTTTATTTTTTTATAAAGTGTTAATTATTTTTTTATTGACTTAATTCGATTAAAATTAAATTTAAATTGATATCAGTTTAAGTTAGTTTAAGTATAAAATTTTAAAATTAATATAAATAATTTAATTTGTAATTTTACTCTCAAGTGGATTGAATCACTCTCTTAGAAAATAATTTAATTAAATAATATAATATTATTATTTTTATATATTTTTAGTAAATATATTTTCAAATTTTTTTGATAAATGAAAATATAATATATTTCTAAAATTTTTGTTTTTGTATATAAATTATATTTAAAATTTTCCTTTCTTGTATAACTTTTTTTACATTTTGGTATAATATTTTCCATAGTTATAGTATAATATTATTTGTATTGGTTAATTATTTTTTAATTTTTATACTATAATAATAAAATATAACTTAATTGACTTAATTAAAAAATTAGTGCAAGCTAATTCACTATATTTAAAATACTATTAAAAACTAACCAATCAAATCAAATCACATTTATCTTATTTTAGGTGAATTGGTTTAATTATAATATAGTAATAGATACCAACAATTTATTGGTTCAAATGGAATGCTTTTAATTCCCCTTAAATAAGATTTCAAATTCAAATTTTGTAAATGAAAAAATAAACGTTGGAAAGGTTTCCCCCACATGAGGTTCAATGTAGTTCAATTCCGAATTAATCGAGATTCAATGTAGTTATTAAGGATTGAGAGGTTAATACAAAAAAAATAATAATGATAGATTGAATTTGTTTGAAATTTTTACTGGTAGATAAAATTAGTTTGATTTTAAAAATATTAAAATCCAATTCAATGCACATGGTAAACACCCCTAATTGTTCGAATTACAACATTTTGTTGGATTGGAACCCATTAAATAGGGTAAACCCCCAATATCAATAAATTAACCTCTATATAATGATTTAAATTATATAATTTAAACTTTTACCTCAATATCTAGGCTGCACTACATTTCTTTTTTAAACTAAAAAATGTATTTCTATATAAAAAAAAAAATAAGAATGGATCCTTACATTGATTATGAGGTAGGGGTGTGGTTGTGGGCATATAAGAATTTATTAAGGTGACATAAAGTTGTTAATATTGTCTTTAAAAATACCAATTTTATTTAGTTTGGTTGTTGGAAAGAATTAATTGTTAATTTTTATTATTTAATAAATTAAAATAAATTTATAAATTAATATTTTCAAATATTATAATTAATTATTTAAGAAAAAATTATATGAATAAATAAATATCAATAAAATAAAACACAGATGCTATAATTTGTGTGGCCTTAAAAAGGGAAATAATATATAGACAATTTATTTTTACATACTATTAAATCAATATATGTATACAATATTACAAATTCTAGTAAAATAAAAATAGTCATTCACTAAATGATATGAAAGGTTTTATAAAAAGTTGTACAATAAAAAATTAAATAACGATACACAAACAACTTATTTGCACAAATTTTATTTATAACTCTTACGTATGATAAATGGATAGATACTTATAATTTCATAGATCTTGGTATAGTGAAAAAAGCTAATAACTAAATTAAATATAATGTTAATTAAAAATATATATAATAAAAATTTCTTTAATTGTTTTTTATAAAACTTATCCTTTAATTATTTTCCCTTAACTCTCACAAAAAAATATATTTTTTTCCCTTAATAAATTGGTTTGTAACCACACCATAACATAACTTATAAGTAAATTTGTTTATAAGTAATATATTTTTTCACAAATTTAAATGTTTGTGTGAGAAAAAACATAAATTCTACTTTTAAAAGTTATTTATATGTAAATTTTGAGAAAATTAAGGATAAGAGTTGAAGTCATTATGGAGCCAATTGTTATAACTGAAGTGTTTCCTTTACTCAAACAATAATGAATTAAAATTCATTAGTGATATTTTTATATTTTTAATAGTGTATGAAAAAAATATATATATTAGTTTTAACTTCAAAAATAATTGTGAATTTTAATTTTAAATTATATCGTTTTATTTGATTAAAATTCAATTTAAAATTAACAAAATCATTTTATTAAATGTTAATATTTTAGAATATATAATAAGTTTTTAAATTTAAATATTAATATTTAATAAGATAAAATTTTAATTTTCAAATATAAGTTAATATTCTAATTATTTTTAAAAGATAGGATTAATATATATTAATCTCATAATATATTTAGGTTGAAGGAAAAAAAATTTTTATTACTTAAATTATAAAAAAAAATTTGTTCTCTTTTTTATTTTTTTTATATAAATATATTATAAATATAAAATTATTTTATAATTTCAATTGTATTATTGATAATCTTTTCTTATTTAATGATTTTTATTTATAATTTAGTATAAGTCGGACGAACAAAATAAAGTGGTACTTTTTAAAAATTTACTCCACATTGATGAATGCAGGACGGACTGAAAAAAATTCCTCCACTTCTAAAAAAATTCGCCGTTCTAAGGAAATTTAATGATCGAATCAAATCTGATCATGACATTCAGCAACAGATACAAAGTATTGTTGATAATGATTTGATACCTTCTGTGGATGATCTGATTAATTTGTTGACTATATAATGAACAGTGTACCACAAGTTCACACTTGAGTACAACATAAATAGTAAAATATTTATTTAATGTATAAATTATTTAATAATAATAAAATTGTCCCATTGAATTAAGTAACTTTTAAGCACTTTCTTTTAATTTTAGTAATTTAAATTTAAATTTAATTTTTTAAATATAGATTTAATATATTTTATATAATTGATAATAATAAAAAATTTTAATTAAATAAAATATTTAATAAAAATTATATAAAAGAAATTTTAATTATTATTTTTATTTAAAATTTATATATAAAAAATAAAAAATATTAAATTTAAACCATTAAAGTTAAAGAGTAAGAGTAAGAGTAATATTTTTTAGAAAATGTCTTCAATCTAAAAACTAAAATGAGTAAAAACATAAGAAAAATTGTTACTTTATATTGTATAATCTTAAAAAATTTTAAATTTTACAAAGTAGATTAAATATTAAAAATATAAATTATTATATAAATTTATTTAAATATTTTTAATAAAATAATAAAAAATAATTTTATTTAAAATATTTAAATAAAATTTTAAAATAAATTATATTTTTAATATATTGTCTATTTTATAAATTTTTTATTAAAAAATAAAAGATAAAAAATCAAGAAAAGAGGACTAGGGTGGATGGGATGGGGGACACGTGGCAGGAGAATCTTGAAAGGGGGTGTGGAAATTGGAGGAGACCAGAAATTGGCATGTCATACATGAAAAATGATTGTTCTTTTCGACGCCTTTCACTGGTGCTTTTGTAGGCCAATTGGATTGCATGGACACTGTACATCGATTCAGAAGGTTCATGCTTGCCTGGTAGTGCTAGGAAGTAGCTCCTGCTTTTCTTTTCTAATTCAATTCATGTTAAAGTTTTTTTTTTTTTTGAAAATAGGTAATGCAATTCATGTTAAAGTTAGTTTCACAAAGAAGTCTGGCACTAAATTGAGATAAAATTTGAGTACTTAAGAATTATAATTTTTTAAAAATAAGATAAATTATCATTATTGTTTATTAATATAAAGTCTTACTGTATTTACAAGGATTAAGAAAAGGCTCATCACATAAATTAACGTCTTATATTTATATACATTTCAATTATCAAGAACGAAGGAGGATAGAAACAA